ACCCCCAGGTGGGTCGCGAAGCCTTACACGGGGGGTCGCGGGTAAAAGAAAAAGATAAGTGTTTATAGGTCCTACACTACAATAAAAAAAACTAGAATTTCTGTGCGAAGGCTGTGCCTGTTTATTTTATGGTTTTTCGATCGATATTTAAAAAAGAAAATTAAATATGTAGTTTTTAAAATCACTGATATAGTTTAAATATGGCTCTGGGGGGTCGCCAGAATTTTTTAACTTGTAAAGGGGTCACGTATTCAACAAGGTTGAAAAACACTGCATTAGTAAAGCAAAATTCATTTTACATTCAATATAATTGGTAACCTAGATAATGTAACAATTTTAAGAAAACAAAGCACCCCTTACAGTTTATGAAAAACCAAATAGATACACAAATTCTCTTAATTCAAGTAATTAGATCAGATTCTAATATGAAAATGTAAAATCTGGACAGCTTTTTAAAATATGTATATGATTCTGGTTTGAAGTCTCTCTAAGAAACTTCAAATACATGTTCATACTGTATAACTGGCTCAAAATGACTGCATACAAATCAATCTTACTGAAGTGTTGCTTTTGTAAATTGCAAAACATTAATAACATTTGAAATGGAATTTGATTGATCCCCTTTTAAGATTAAATCTTATTGAATTTTGAAAACAATTAATTGCTGTTGCTTTTTACATCAAATGAACATTTTCTCAAATCAACCCAGAACTGCAAGAATTTAAGTAGATTTATAACTATTACAATTATTTCTCAGTATACACACTGTTCTGTAATATTTTAAGCTTTTAAATGTAATAACTAATTATTTAAGTTAAATAAAAAAGACTTATTACCTCAAATACTAATACTTAAATGGTGGTCAGCTGAAAATCATTTATCTAAGATTCAAATATTTTTAATTTTGTATCAATACTAAAACCAAAATGGGAAAGTTAAGAACTTTATTTAAAAATTTAAATGCATGAAATCTACATAATTATTTCATTGATCTTCATATCATATTATGGTCCATGTTTTAAAGCAAAAATCATAAAATTAAAATCTTCAAGTCATTTGTGTAAATATATTTTTTAATATAAAAACATTTTGAACTTGCCTTTTATGAAATTTCACGTTTTCTTTCAAATGCCCTCTAGTGGTAACGAAAATTTCGTTTGCGTTAAGGAAAAAGTCGACGCCAAAATATAGCTAAATTTATGTCTTTTTTAATTAACAGCAGTGATTTTTTGTTTATAACTTTGTAAAGCTTATTTTTATTTATTTTTTAATTTTAAAAAAATATAATTATTTTGAATTTTATGAAATTATATGAAATTATATATCTAAAAAATAATTTATGGAAAAGGTCATTTATTTTATTACGCATTCTTCAGTCATTAAAAGATTTTTTTATATCTACTACTACGAATCAAGGTAACTAAATAATACAGTTTTGAAGCTATACTTATAATCATCTTTCGTTTTTGTTCAAAAAGAACTGATTCCGATAGGGCGGCGTTCAGATCGTTAAACATGCGAAGTTGCTACGAGTTTCAGTCAACGGCATATAACTACTACTAGTAGTATTAATAATACTATTAGTAGAAGAAATTCGGGGTCCAGTAACGTACTAGACACCGAATCGGAAACGGCCGGATGGATGTGCGGTCAAGGCAGGGGAGGCCCTAACAAGGTTTACAGGCGGTGCGAGATCTTATTGTGGCGCCCCACTCCTGTAGAGACTAAACTGTACATAGAGACTAAAGATAACATACATTTTTTACATTATTAATAACTCGGGCCTCCGAAAGATTAATATAGTAGTACTATGGATGAGAAACAATAATAGTAAAAAGAAACAATATTTGTTTGAAAAGATTAACAGTCAACAACGTTAAGTGTGAATTTCACGCTACATGTGCATACCTTTGAAATGCTCACAACCCAGCTCACTGTTGTATAGAATTTATTTTGGCGGGTAGGTTTAAGTAGTAATAAGGTGATTGGGTTTTATTTTTTGCGCAGATGATCTATATGTTTCAGCCAAAATTTCAGAAAAATTTTTACGCTTTCTGTTTTATGCTAGATTTTATGCCGAATTTCACGCATGTGTGTTCCTAGCCTTAGAGTTTCTTCTTGTTTTAATACTTGCTCTGGTGTGTTGTTAGTGTTTTCGTTCCTATATCCGCGCTTAAAAATAAAAAAAAATTACAGATAAAATAAAATGTTTAAAATTTTCCTAATCGCTTTTTCACATATGTTTTTGTTTATTACAAAAGAAATAATTCAAATTTGTAAAAAGTGTAGATGCAGTATAATTTTTAAAATAAAATGTTTAAAATTTCCCTAATCGCTTTTTCACATATGTTTTTGTTTATTACAAAAGAAATAATTCAAATTTGTAAAAAGNAATTACAGATAAAATAAAATGTTTAAAATTTTCAAGAAATATTTATATATTTCAAGAAATACGGTATAGTAAAAACAAAGCTCCAATTCTATAAAATAAAATAGCTCAAATAATATTACCATTTAAAATTATTTCAAAGATAAAAATCCCAGACTGAATTTCAGATCAGACTCCAGAGTTAGGCGGGCAGTCCGTTTTTTGGACTATTTTGTAATTATTAAAATTTAGCAGATGAGTCCAACGTTGGGCAAAAAATAACAACAGCAAAGATTAAGATTATTAGACTATTTCGTATTTCTAACCCTTCTACTATATTATATTATAGTAGCTTACAGTATTTGATTTATATTTACAAAGGTTATTTTACGTAAGAGTTTATCGTAAGCAAGAGTATATGAATCACGGATGTGAGGAAGTTGAAGATAATTATGGCCGAATATATATGATAGATTGGTCAAATTTTCTCAAAAACACAAAAAATAATTATAAAACATTAAAAATAACAAAAAAAGTTATTTAATAACTCATATGATATATATATCGTATATATATCATATACGATTTACAGAAACATTATTATGTCTGTTTCTTCCTTATATACATCTGCGATACTTTGCTATGAAGTTGTGGTGAACGTCTTCCACCATCCACATCTTTTGTGAAAAACACGACAGTTAAGCTGTGGAGTCAAATGCAACTGCTTTTCTACTGTTGTGTACAGGTACGGATTTAGGTTTTTCGGGGCCTAGGGCTTATTAATTAAAGTCCAATGGGGCATCATAATTATCACAATTTATGGAAGTTTTTACTCAATCACAGATCCCTGTATAGAATCATTGAAAGCGTTATACGATATTTTGGTGTGTAGCATCCACCAGCTAAACCGCGAGGTTGGTTCTCTCATTTGCATGCGCAAATGAGTATAATCCGGCTACTTTATACGATTCAAATATTTTCGCCGTGGAAGTTGTCCGGTATTCGACAATACAGCGCTTCCATTGGGAATATGCATACACAAATTTATATTCGAATATACAATAGCAATCTTATCATTTTTTTTCACATGTAGTATAGAAATTTGTAATTAGATACATAACGCGGTTATAATAAATAATTAATTAATTCAAAGTACGTTAAAATATGAAAATAATCACACAATATGTATTTATATTTTAGAAAATATAAGGGAAGCGACGCTTCCACAGCTTCTATGAACGGCACACCATTGGTATCTATATGCTCTTATATGGTAAAGAAAGTGTTCATTTTGTGTCACTTGTTCTCTGTGTTTCTGCTTCAATTACTGCAGAGGAACTGTGAAAAAAACAGTTCGAAATGTATTTAGTATAAGTAAATCTCTTTTGTTATAAATAAAAAAAAAACTGTTAAAAAGTTCGAAGTGATTTTATTTTTAAAGTACCTTCCTTTTTGAAGGTTTTTAGAATTACATATATATTTTAAAAGAGTAAAGAAATTCAAAAAGCCAAAAAATGGCTAAAACAGAAAAAAGCCAAAGTTGTTAAATTTGGGCATAAAAAGACCAAACTGGCAACCATGACATGAATAAGTGAAATATTCAATGATTTTTCGTAGCGTCGATAATCGATGATGTCAGAAAGCTAGACAATCGTCGTCCAGAATCGATCACATGACTCATCTGACGTCACGCCTAAACGCCCTACAAATGTTCAGCGATTTTTGTATTTCAGGATCTAATCACCAACTTTAATACTATAAAAACCTTGTGAAAATTCTATTTAATATTGACAGTTATCAAATCCAATGTATTTATTTTTAATTTATAAGATACATAATTTTAGATTTGCAATAAGTTTAGAATGTTAGTACTAAAATTGGGTAAAATAATTAGATTTACAGTAAACTCTCGATTTAACGGATTAATTGGGGAAGTGGCATCCACTATTACCGAAAGTCCGTTAAATCGAATGTTTTACAAACACATTAATTAATAACGAATTTAAATGTGCAATATATCTTAATGTCAGGATGTAACTTATGAATAAAATATTACGGACCGGATGGCCGAGCAGGTAAGGTGGCAGCCTACCGCTCTGGGAGACTCGGGCTCAAACTAGGACTCAGTCGTAAAATCCCCAGGAATTTTTCGGGGGGGTGGTCTGTTCTGATATGCGGGCACCGTCCCTCACCACCCGGTCACCCCATTGTGGGCCTGCTAAAAAGAGGCCCTCTTAGTGCCCATAGGGCGGAAGGAATAAAAATAAATAAAATATTATGTACATGGAGTAATTTATACTCTTTGTCAACCTTTCAGCACACACTAATCATGATAAAAAGGTTTTGAATTATTCCTATAGGATAAATTATTTGTCCAGTAAATCCAAAGTCCTTAATTGGAAGATTTTACTATACAGTAGAGCGTCGTTTATCCGAATCAATTGGGAACTGGGGTTGTTCGGATAACTTATTTTTCGGATAACCGGTTACTGTATGTACGAAAAAATATATTAACTTATCCCGTGTTGAAATTTTTCTCCGTTGCGTGTCGCTTCGCGTTGAATTTTCGTCGATGTTAAGCCCAACATAAACTTTTTAAAATAATAATCGTGGTTATTGTATCGTTAAAAATGATTTCTTTATTTTTAAAAACGAAATAAATACATTGAAAAATATAAAAACAAATAAAAATTATACTTTAGGCCGACTGGAATTCTTTCGGATAACCGACTTTCGGATAAACGACGCTCTACTGTACAGTAATACCTCGAACTTACGCGATAGGTGGGACCGAGCGATAACCGCGTAAGTCAAATTCGCGTAAGTCGGGGTATAATTTTGCAATTTGTGTAAAATCCAAGTCGGATGTATGTAAGCTAATAAATGTTCTCGTTAATCTTATCGCGTCTTTTGATTCGTTCACGGTTACAAGAAATCACCACATAGAGTCTCTCAAGTCTCCGTAGATATAACCAGAGCCGGCCCTACCATAGGGCGAACGGAACAGCCGCTCCAGGCGCTAAGTCCAAGGGGGCGCCTCAGTAGTAAAGAAAATTAAAGGGTATAAATTAGGGCAACCAAGGAGGGCGCCATAATAGGATCTCGCTCCATCCTAAAACTTGCCTCGGGCCGGCACTGGATATAACAAACAGAAATAAATAACACAAAATAAATTGTAGCTATGTGTCGATTCCGCGCGACACGCCGGAACATGTAAGCTGAACAATAGTGTGGGTGGAGTGAGTAATCAATAGTTGCATGGCGCTCAAACAAAAGACGAATCGATGAGATTTGAAAATCGCGTAACTTCCGCGTTCGCGTAAGTCGAGGTATTACTGTATATATATTATAGACTACTAGCTGTTGCCCGCGCAGTTTTTGCAAGCAAACCCCATTTATATTCAGTATTTCAACAACCATAGTAATTGATACCTGCCGCTGAGAATCAAACGAACTGTTTTCAATTTGATCAATTTTCTGGAACGTTTACAATCGTTCTATAATCGAACCAATATGCGATAACAAATTCGATTTTAAAACAGTTCGAACATTTGGTTAAAAAATCGAAATATATAAAAATATTTATAATAATGCCTGAAATGTTATCAATTTAATACACCTAAGTACTCAATGAAGACTAAACGTTGTTGAAAATAAAAAATCGCATCTAAAATAGTACAGTAGAAGTCGTTTTTCCGGTTAAGCCTTAATCCTTTCCCTCTTCTCCCCGCGGGGGAAGTTCGAGTAACTTCTTAGTGTGCGTTTTTATGACGTACCCTATGTACCAAATTTCACCTCTAGGTTCAGCGGTTTGCTCTGGGCAATGATGAATCAATCAGTCAGTCAGTCACTCAGGACAAATAATTTTATATATTTAGATTAATAATATATCATATAAAAAGCTTTCACAACAAATCTTTTATTTGTCATTAAACATATTATACAATAATGAATTATATAAAATATATTATGTAAATTAATAACTATACTTATAACAGTTATATATTACAAATAATGTTAACAATGCAGGAAAAATGCTTTTTTAGTAAAACAGAAAACTGATTGATATATACTGTATATATATACATTTTGTACAAATAAAATATGAACAACATAATTTCACAACATAATAGCTGCTATGAAAATCTTCAACACTTCAAACATTAATATCAAATGTTGACAATATATAATTTAAATAATGTATACATTGACAAATTTAAAATTTTGTAATTGGAGGAAGAGAAATATGTGACTGCAAGCTGTATAAAAGAACATGTAGATGTGATATTACTTTATTTTGAGAAGTATTTTTCAAATGTAAATGCAAAAAATGAACACAATGAGTAAAATTTTTTTCTATGTTACATAATTTTTCAGTTTTCACATTATCAATACCATTCTTCCAACACTGTTGAAAATTTAATGCTAAGTTCAGAATTAATGTTATAGCATCTTTCAAAATAGCAAATTTTGGATGAAGAAGAGAATATTCATAAATTTGTGCCAAATAGCAAGTATGAGAATTCAACACTTGTTCAATATTTATGGCTTTCTGGAGTTCTTTCTTTAACTCAGAACCTCCATGTTGCTGAATCTGAGTCATAATATACATATGAAAATTATTTATAAAATATAACAATCTCATTCGTAAAAGATACATGGAATGAATTTTTTGAAAAAGTGGTAATTCAGATTCATGTTCAAAAACTGGTGACGATTTTTTACTTTTCAATTCTTCAAATCTAAGTTCATCTAATGCATATTTAGCACATTTTACTTGCATCAAAAAATTAAAAATTTCATGGTATTTCTGTTGAGAGGAAAAATTTAAAATTACATTTAATGGCCAACTTAATTTATATGAAAAATGCAATGAATTTAATTCATTAAGTTTGTTGTTTCTATTATTATAATGATTTAGATCCAAACTAACTGTTAATTGATTTTGTGTATTAAGATCTTGATACAGTAATGCATCCTGAAGTGCAGCATTTACAAATGCCATATCTTTCCATACCTCTCCATTACACAATTTCTCAAATATTTCAGAATAGAAAGCAAATAGCATATCACCAAGTTCCATAAGAAAAAATTTTCTAATTATTTTCATATGATAGAATAAATTATATTCTTCTTTAAGTATATCAATTAATATTTTACTAATTATCTGACATTTTCTTTCAATACAAGTATGCAATACTGTTTTAATGCTAATAGAAATTGGATATTGACTTGAATAAGAAAGTATTGCTTTCTGTTCTAAACTTTCTATAGTTGTTTCCAGTACTTGAGAATTTGTGCATTTAATCATGTTAGAAAAATTATAATGCAGTAATGGATTATTATTAATTATTGTTGTCAACCAATCTGAGAAATCTTTATCAAAATTTTCTTTATCTATAGACATTTGTTTGCTTTCTTGATTATTAGAAACTGAAATTATCTCTGTATTGTCATTATCCAATTTGTTCTTGTTAAATACATCAGGGAGCATGAGTAAAAATTCTTCATACAAGGATTTATCAAGAACATTTTTTATCATATATTTTTCTTTGTTTGAACAACCTAAACGTCTAATAATTTCCATAGATTTTCCAGCTAAAATAATATTTGATAACAATGGCTGTAAAATAAAATCTTGAGATATATCACTTGGTATTGGATGCATAAAGAATGCATTTTTCCAGAAATTTTCATCCAAAACATTAATTTCTATTCTTTCAACAATAAACTCTTGCCATGGATCATTTAGAATCCCTCTGCTTATAAAATCATCTAACAACTTGAGATAGGGTCGAAATGTTCTTAGAAATATGCTCAACACCAAAGAAACAATTCTAGAATTAGAAGTCCAAGTAGTATGATATGTTAAATATCTAAATAAAATAGTTAATAATCTTACAGATCTATTCCAAGCGGGAGAATCCGACGGTGCTGAGATAATTCCATCTTTATAAATAGTATAAAGAATTTTTATTTCTTCAAAATATGACTTCAATTCATCAGTCATTTGGATTAATGTTATTGTTTGATTTTGGTCTATTAATTGCTTTTCAAATTTTGTGATTTCTTCAAAAAATTTTTTTAAACTCTTATTTACGCTATCTGCAAATGCTTGGTAAGTCTGAGAACATACAGCAGATCGAAAATCTAATTTGCCAGAAACTTTGATGAATTGTTGCAAATGTTTTATAAAACTTCCATAAGAACAAAGATCAGACAAGAAATTATAAAGTGTCAAATCTGTTACATGGGACATCTGCACAGGCTTTACTTGAAAACTTCCATCTTTCCAAACAAATAATGCAAGATCTGGCACTCCTTGCAACATCCACAATACCTCTTTTAAAATTAAACGTTCTGATAATGTAATGTTACCGTTTTTACCAGTCAACTGAAAAGTTTCCAGATACTCTTCCCATTCTTTCAACAGGTTTGCAACTTTAGCTTTACTTGGTACTCCAAATGAATCAATATCAGAGTGACTATTCCAATAAGGAGCTACTATGTTATTCTGAAGCCATATACGCTCTTTTGACTCTGGATGAAAAGAAGTGGAAGTTGTCGGTCCCTGGGAATTTGTGGATTTACTATCGGTACTTCCGGTGATATCTATTCCGGAATCATCTCTTTCCGGCGGTATCGTTTCAACAGACATAATTTGATCTTCGGTATCTTCTACGACCTCTTCATCTTCTTCCTCCGAATATTCGTGATAACTGATCAAGGAATGATCCAATTCACCTTCCAGGAGATACTTTCCCCAGTCTACTTCATCAGCACTGACTATGGCACTATCGTTTTCGTCAATGTAGGATAATTCATTGTCAGTCGGCGATGCAGAAAGATTCAAAAGCAACGATAAGATGGAGTAGGCTAAATCATTTCCACAAGGTGTTCTGGAATTCACATCTTTTATAAATGTTTCTACTAAAGATCGAAAGGTTTGAGCCTTTTTATCTTGACAATAAATAACGAATTTATCGCACAGACCCTTTATAGTTTTCTGAATTTGATTACTATTAACATCCAAAAAATGGCGATACTTAAAATTCGAATTAACGTATTGTACACACAAACGAAAATTTTCTGAATTTTCCTCGAAGCCAGTAATGGCTTTTACAAGCGAGCGTACATCATTTTCCATTTTCTTTTACAACTAAAAACTACAATTTGTAACGAGTTTACAAGATCGGAAACAAACAACATTCCACTTACGTGACCGGAAGCCCTCTAACGGTGATAATAAATTACGACATTTTCGTAGCAACGAGTAGTATCAATTTATCAACAAGGATTATTTAATAGTATTTATTTTGAAATATTTAATTAAATTTTTAAAAAAGAATATAATAAAAATTAATTAAATATTCTAAAAAAATTGCCATTGAAATTTTATGTAAATCATATTCGATATTTCGATACTTAGGGAATGTCATAGATGTTTGTTGAAAACGATTAATTTTTTTTGAATTTTGTCATTTCCGGAAATGCAGGTGATGATAATTCGATGGAAATTGTGAGAAGATGAGAATTGAAATGGGTGTGAATGGAATAACGAGTGATAGTACGATGTTGTTGGTATCTATAGTTGCCATTATTTTACCTTTGTCTTTATCATTTTGGATCGTATGTTTCCTCTCATCTTGGTACTCCTCAGGTAATGTACCAGTACTTCCTTACAATTTTAAAATAATATTTTTCGTAGAGTAGAAAATATATGCTATAAAATCGCGTTTTCCTTATATAAATTTAGTTGTTATGCGTATCTACGATTGTTTGTTTACTTAAAAAATTACCTTTAATAATGTTAGCGCTGTATGCTTTAATCGCATTAAAATTTAGTGTGGTTTTTTTAAAATTGTTTATGAATATTTTTATAAGATTCTTTAGTTATCTTTTCATCCTTCTAATTTATTGGTTTTTTAAAAATTTAATTAATTCAATTAATTAAATACGTTAATTAATTGCAATACATTTTTTCGTTTTTTGAGTAATGAATATTTGGAGTTATGTATATTTTTATTTGTTGACCATGTTTAATAATTGATGCAAGTTTGTTTCATGTTAAAGATATATTTTGTAGGTGAATGCACATTTCCTTATGATTATATATAATTTGTTGGTATATATACAATATAAAAAGAAGAATTTGTATATCCTGGTTTGCTAAAAGGAAAACATATTTTGTTTTGCAACATAATTTTCAATAGATTTTCTGTTTGTATAGTTTTATCCTTATAGGAGGAAAGGGTAGCAACTATAATCCCCACTTTAGATCATAAAAGTACAAAACTACCAAAATTTAGATAATCTTTCATGATGCAATTGATTAAAAATACAATTTTCACTAAATTTACCAAATAAAAGACTACATTGTTGTAAAATAATATATTTGTAAATTAGGAAAACTTAATACTGACTCTTAAATTCTGTCAAGCTTTTGTTTTTCAGATTTATAATTTATAAAAAAAAAAAAAATGTTATATTAACTGATTTTTATCAAAGTAAAATTAAAAAGAAAAAAATTGAAAATCAAAACTGAGTATCCCATTACATAATTAATACATAGTATCTAATAATAGTAATTAAGACATCTATCTTATTTGTTTTTTTATTATTTTAAATAAAAAAGAACATTATATTTGATTGTTTTTTTAGTTGTTAAACATAAATTTTAAATAAGCCAGTTTGTTTCTTGAATGAATGAAAAAAGTTACTTTAATTTTTTATTTTAACTATTTGATTGTTTTCAAATATATATGTCTTAATGTAATAAAATTTACTGCATTTCTAAATTCTATGTTATAAGGGAAATTTTTAAAATTATAGATGTTTTGCATCTGATCTTAATCGAAGCATTTATTCTAATTACTACAGAGAATCTTAGATGTTCATGGACAATTGAATGAATTGATTCACAGCTGATTGATTGATGTGCTTTTTGCAGATTCAATGACTAAATTGACATAGTTTTATTTGGATTCATTACAAACTTGGTGTATTCAGTTTGTATTCTCCTGTGATAGAGAGGTTGAGGCCGAAGTTTTAAATGTGAAAACGTGTACGTCGGACATTCAGCGCCGCTTTCCTGTAAGCCTAGAAGTTTGACATTGGTGTTTGGAATGTCGAGCATGATTCCACTGACTATCCAAACACCATTGTCAAGTGGTGCTGAACGTCTGACGTACACGTTTTTGTGTTTAAAACTTCGGCCTCAACCTTGCTAATATTTAAAGTAAAAACAAAATATGTATAAGAAGCAATATACCAGATAATATAAATCTATTTTTTTCTGAAATTAACTCTGAGAGATTAAAATGTAAATTATTTAAATCAGAAGTTCTCAACTGGGGTCCACATAGACCAGTGTTTCTCAACCTCTAATGAATCGCCAGTCCCTTCAACGTAGTATCACCCCCTTCACTTCAAAATTCCAATGCCCAGGGCCAAGGCTAACACCAAATTCGTACTGCATTGAATAGACTAGTGACTAGTATAATGTTATTTGTTTAATTATTGTAAGATATAATGAATAAAATAACTAATTATTCTTAATATAATGTTTTACTATGTTGCCCAGAAAATTGTTTTTCGCCCTCACCAAAATATAAATTGTTACTAATCGCCCCCTCAACATGGAAAAACACCCATATGGAGGCAATATTGTCCCCATTGAGAAACACTGACATAGACTGTAGGGGTCCATGTAACATAAAAAAATACCGAATTGGGGGTTCACGGCGATATTTTTGTGGTCTATAGGATAATTGTACTTCAGAACAATTCTTTTACTGAAAATTAAATTTCTATAGTATATACCAGACATGGGCAAATGCGGCTCTTTTTGAGTTACTTGCGGCTCTTGAAAGTGTTAATTTCTGCTTTTTATTATTATTTTCACAATTTTATTTCCACAATTTGTGGAAATAAAATTGTGAAAATATGTTTATTAAAAAAATTCAATATTTGTTTTATATTATATTAATATTATATAATAAAATCGCAGTACAGAACTGCGGTACAGAATAAAAAAGTACAGAACTGTAGCTCCCATGCATTTTGCAAAACCTACATTTCGGCTCCCACTGAACTCTTGCTTGCTCACCCGATTTATAATATAATTACTATATTATAAAATTACTTTAGAAACATGTAAATGAAGAGCAATGCATCTACAGTGTCAAATAATTTAATCATATTCAGATAATGTACTGAATACATTTGTCTTAGCCAAAATTTTGATCACAGAAACATCATTTTATTAG